TTTGGGGGGGGGGGTCTATGCTGGCCTCTGGGAAGCAGTGTCCTGTGTGGCTTCCTGGGAGTCTCACAGGATGGCAGAGCCGGGGGTCGGGGTGGGGGTGAGCTTTGTGGGGGGTGAGGGAGAGAAAGGCAAGGTTCTGTCTGGGGCAGGAGTCCGGCACTGGGCCCTACTCTGTCCTGACTCTGTGGGACCCAGGCCAGATACCGTCCTCCCTCTGAGTCTCCCTGACCCCCAGATTCGCCCTTCTGCCTCTCACCACCTGCCCATCTCTGGAGGCCAGTTGGTTACACTGTCTCTTCTCTTGGGCTCCACACCGCCAGCTCCGAGGTGCTAATGGGTCCCTTAGCAAGGCGGGGTTGTGTGTCGGGGTGGGCCCAGCTGTGCTGCCTCCCATGCATTGGGAAGAGCCTGCTCACCCACACCTCAGCTCCCCCTAGAGCCCGGGCTCGCTGGGCTTCTATGGGGTGACCCTGACCTCTTCCCTCTCTGAGCCTGGGGTTCTGGGTGCAGTGAACTGGGTGCAATCAGAGATGGCAAGTGCCTGCTTCTCCTTCTAGATAGTTCCTCATGAGCAGGCCCTGCATCTTGGCCATCTGTGCCCCACCCCCCTGTCCAGGGGGCTCTTCTGGCCTTAACCATTTGTGGTCACGGACCCCAGTGCCCCAGACCAGCTGCTAGCATGGTGGCGGAGGGGGGTACAGGGGAGAGTCTGGGGTAGACTCAGGAGGCCTGGACTTGTTGAGGGCCCAGCAGACACTGATGACCCCAGGGACCATCAAGACTTGGCTAAGAACACACCATGAACCTGACCCAGAGGTCATCCTGGTGAGGACTTGGAGGAAGGAGAGGGGGAGAGGAGGAGACAGGCCGAATGTTCCTGCTTGGAGCCCCAAGGTCGTTTGTGGACTGTGAGACACGACGGGCCAGGTCCCTTTGCCTCTCCTGGGCAGCTGAGCCAGCTTAAAGCTCAAGGGATGGACAAAATGACCCTTTCCCAAGGGAGCTATGGGCCAGGCCTCCCCCAGAGCTGCCCTGTGCAGGACTCACTGTGCATATGCAAAGGGAGAGAGGTGGGGGGCTCCCTCTGGCCAGCTGCTCAAGGGGCCAGAGAGGCACAGGGCCAAGGTATGGGCCGGGCCCTGGGTGGGCTGAGGCTGCAGGGGGAAAGGCTGCGACCCTCTCTGTAGCGCTGTGCAGAGCAGGAAGCTCACAGAAGGGCCAGGCTGCCTGCTCAGACCCGAGGGGTGATATTGCCTCCGGCTTCCCATCCACCACCCCTCCCCGTGACAAGGGCGAGCCCAGACACCTGGACAGGGCGAGGGGCCTGCAGACACCAGGGGTATACTGCTCCCGAGGAACAGGGCTTCCCCAGGCCAAACCACTAGCAGTTTGGTGAACGTTGAGGACCCAAGTGGGCGGAGCAGAGAGGAGGTCCGTGTGTGCCCTCTGGTGGAATCAGGCCACCTCAGGGTGAGGAGTCTTGGGCTGGACTTGTGAATTAAAGGCGGGACCATGAGCACCTGGAAGAGGGCACAGTGGGGTCACTGAGAACAGGGCGCACTAGCCTCCTCCTCGCTTCCTCGTTTGAACTGAGGGGGGCTGGCGTTGCTACTGCCCCTCTGGTTCCCAGCAGGCCTTTGGCAAAGTCCTGCACAACTCCTGGTGGGTGAGCCGCTTGGACGTGCAGTTGCGACCCACCATCCAAAGAGGGCTGGGTAATGGGCCAGTCCTGGATAGCAAGAGAGCCCCAGTCCAGTCCTGCTCCACACAGGGCCCACCTTGGCCTGGGTGAGACTCCGAGGGTCGATGGGCATGGGTGGGAGGGCAGCCCGGCCCCCACAGAGCCGGGCTGCAGAGCCTGCCGGGTGCGCTGAGTTAGAGAAGGTGGCATTGACAAGAAAAAGGTCCGGGGCCTGCAACTCAAGTCTAAATCTCCCATGTCCCCACTCCATGTTGTGGCTTAGCTGTTGTGAGGGCCGGGGGAGTCGCTTACAGAAGGGCCTGTGAGCCGCATTAACAGAGCCGGAAGAGGACAGAGGAGGGGCCTGCCACGTTGGGCTGGCTGGTGTCAATGTCAAGGTTGGGTCTGGCCCTTCCAAAGGAGCATGGGACCACAGTTTCAAGAGGAACTGCTGGAGGAGCTGGAAAGGCCTGGCTTAGAGAACTGAAGACTCAGGGCTGAAAGAGGCAGAGGTGCAGCCAAGAAGAAAGGCAGTAGACTTGGGGCCCAATTAAGGTAGTGAGCTCCCTGTCGTTGGAGGTATGCAAGTGGAGGCAGAGGTGGCTTGGGCAGGAGTCAAACATCAGATGGAGTTCCAAGCAGGTAACATTTGAGGTCCCTTTCCACTTGAAGGCTCTTGAATGGAGCCTATTTTGGTTACAGGGGCCCAGTCTTGACCTGGAGTTGGTTGGGTCTTGGGTGGCCCCGCCCACTCAAGTAGCCACTATCTGGACCAGGTGGGACACCGTTGGGGCCCACTTGGGGCTTTGACTTTATCCGGTCCTTTCTCTCTACTCCCATTCCTCCTTCCTTCCTCTCCAATTGCCCTAAGAGGGGTGGGGGGGCCCTGCCCCTACCTGGCCTCCTCTCTCTGACCCTAGCCTCACGTCTATTTCTTGCTGTGGGCAGGGCAGACCAGGGAGATTTCTGTTTCCTGCAGCATGCCTGTGTGTCTGTCTGTGGTGCCTTTAAGTGTGCGTGTGTTGGTAGGTGTATCTGTCCCTCTGTGTCTGCCTCCACTCAGTCGGACCCCCTCCGGGGCTCCGCACCTGTGTCCCCGGTGAGCCCTCTCCAGGGGAGAGCCCTGGGGGCCTGGCTTCTCTGGGGTTCCAGGTGGGCTGGATCAGGCTGGCGGGCCTGCCCTCTGGGGAGGAGGCAGAGCATCTGCCAGTCAGGGACACGGGCACACTCGTACCTCCTGGGGACAGGGACAGTGCCACCCGTCAGCATCCTGGGCATGCTCTGAGGCCCCGGCCCGGCCACACAGCCGGCTGGACACAGACAGGACGTTTAAAAAAATAGAGAGAATTTAAGCTTCCCAAAAAAGAGACAGGGCCGGAGAAGGAGGTGATGGCGGCCATGGTGGGGCTGGGAGGGGAGTGGCCGTCTGAGAGCGCGGGGTCCCTGGAGGCGTCAAGGTCTCTGTGAGCAGAACGGCCCCTGCCCAGGCTGTGCCCATCTTCCTCTCTGGTTGTGCCCGCTGGGGACTTCAGCCAGGCCTGGCTGGCCACTGGGAGGGCACCATATGGCTGTCTGCAGAGTCTGTGGGGCAGCTCCTGGGCCGCCGTCCCCTCATCCCTGGCCCAAGCGTCCGTCCGTGCGGCCTGGCAGGCCCTCAGGAGGCGAAGTAGGAGCTCTGCATGGAGTAGAGGCGGTCGATGGGGTTGCCCACCCGGGCCTGCAGGGAGCCCACGTCTGAGGAGCCGAGGAAGCAGTCGCTGAGGCTGGTTAAGGAGGTATCACTGTCAATGTCATGGAAGATGGAGTCGTTCCCTGGGGGGACAAACGGGGTATCAGGACCAGGGTCCCAGCTGGGGCTCCTGGGGACCCTGTCTGCCCTGTAGGTTGTGGGGGATGGGGAGGTACTGGGAGGCACAGAATGCCTGCCCGCTCACATCTGATCAGAGACGTGAGGGGCTGTGGGGGGCCCTCCGGGGCACACTCTCACGTTGGGAGGAGGCAGGGGGCTGTGTTGGCCAGGCCTGCCTGGGGCCCTGAGGTAGGAGGTGGTTAGCAGGGCCCCAGGCCTGCCCTGCCCTCCCAGGCAAGGTAGGGGCAGGGGCAGTGCTGGGGGCGACGGCGGGGGTGGGCGGCTTACCATAGGGGTTCATGTGGTCACCTGGCATTTGGGGCGGCGTGAGGCCCTGCTGGAAGGGGTCACTGCTGCCGTAGGGACTCTGCTCCATGGCCACGATTGGCTGCTGCGGTGGGGCGAGGGGCGTGTAGGAGGCCATCATGCCCTCCATCCGGCTCGACAGCACCTCTGGGGACAGAGCACATGTCCACTGTCCGGCTCGGCCTGCCCCAAAGGTTCCCTGGAGACCCTGGCGCTCCCTCCGGGGAACCCTCCTCCCAGCAGCCCAGAAATATATCCCTGGCTGTTTGTCGCCAGCCTTCCAGGGGGTGTCCCCCACCCAGGGGGCGGGTCATTGAGCACAATTTCTGCCCCTCCGGTCTCCTTCTCCAGGGGCACACTGCAGCCTCTCCTGAGTCAGCCATCAAAAGCCAGGCCACCTCTCTGGCCACCTTCCTCGCTCCAGGAGCCCTGCCTCAAGCCCATAGGGAGGCAGACCCCTGGGCAGGTCAGAAGGATTCCATGAGTGAGCTGGGCCCTAAGTTTGGCCAAGAAGATCCTAGAAGGCTTCCTGGAGGAGGGTCCTTACCTCGCCCCCAGGGTGACTTAAAGAGCCAGCTCTGAGCAGGGGGTGGCATGTGTGCTTACAGGGAAGTGAGAGGCAGGGCAGGAGAGGAGGAAGAGCCCCCCGGGACCCGGGGGGCTGAGGGGTAAAGCAGAGAGTGGGCTGGGCTGGGGACAGACTGGTGGGCCAGCTCAGCAGACCATGGAGAAAGGCTGGCAGAGAGGGGAGCTGAGGTCAGAGGGGAAAGGGCTACGGGAGAGGAGTTGGGGGTTAGGGGGAGACAGGGGAGGAGGGGCTTGAGGGACACTGGACAAGAACCCATTGCTCCAACCTGGGATGGGGCAGGTGTGGCGGGGGTGGGCAGGACGGCTGATGAGTTTGAGGGGACGTGGAACATTCTTGGGGAGACAGTGTCCAGAAGGCAGTGGGGATGAAGGGGTGGGACACAGAGGACGTGGGTGTCGCTGCAGAGTACAGAGCGGGGGTGGGGGTGGGGGTAGGCTGGATACTGAGGCTGTCCCTTAGACGCTCGGAGTCCTGCCGGGTCCTGGAGAGAAGAGACTATCCACTGGTGTCCCTGGCCCTGCCCAGGAGCCCCCATCTCACTCAGGCACAGACAGCCTGGGGGGCCCATCCCACTTCAGCAGTTCCAGGGGGCTCCCCGCATCCCAGCATCTCTGCCACGTGCCCTACAGAGCTTGGGAGACCAGCGCTGGCCTGGACTTGGCTGGAACAGCAAAGCTTTGGCAAAGCCCAGTGTGTTGGGGAGCTGTGCTCAGCAGTAGGACACCCCCCAGCACCCTGACAAGCTTGGGGCCGCCCTGGGAGGCTTCCACGGAGGCTGACTGAGCTGCAGGGGGTCGTGTTGGGTGGTGCTCCAGGCTTGGGGTAGAGGCCTGGCTGTGACTCCGAGGAGCTGAGTGATCGCACACAAGTTCCTCAATCTCACTGCGCCTCAATCTCACCGCGCCGCAGGCTCCCTATGTGTGAAATGGGCTACGGTCATGTCGTCCCTTGCAGGGATCTACGAGTAGTAAATGAGACAGAGTGCCGGATGCCAAGTGTGCCAACAGTTATTGTTTTGAGGAAAGAAAATCTGCCACCCCTGGTGGTGGTGTGGGTGAGGCACTGATTGGGTTGCCAACATCCAGGTCGCTGGTTCCGAGGGGAGGAAGATGAGGCTGTCTCAGAAGCCCCTAGAAGAGTTTGATATCAGTCAGAATCCACTCCTTGGCCGTGGGCTTTGTGTGTTTTTTAATCTCTCCTCTCCGTCAGTCCCAATACATCCCTAGTTTAGCGGGCTGCAAGACAGACACTCCCTGGGCTCTGAGCATCCTTGGTGGAAGGGTTCTGAGAGATGCTCTTACAGGAGACTGAGTGCCTTCATCCCTCGGGTGCAGGCTGAGCCTGAGCAGCTCACCTTGGCCCAGCCGCTGGGAGTTCTGCTGCTCCTGCTGCTGCTGGTGCCTCCGAGCCAACTTCTTCATCTGCAGGGGCCAAAGCACAGTGGACTGTGGTCCCGCCTCCCTGTTGCCCCACCCACAGGCCATGCTCCACCCACATCTGCCCCCCTTGCCTGCTGCTCCTTCCACTCCCGCCTCAGAACGGTTTGGGCAGTGCAAGGGGTGGGGGGCGTCTCACCTTTGCTCTTTGGTTCTGAAACCAGACCTGGACCACACGCACACTGAGGCCTGTCTCTGCCGCCAGCGTTTCTCGGACCTGGCGGGAAGAGAGGGCAGGTCAGGCTGGCAGGGGCAGCAGCTAGGCAGTGGCAGGGGTGGGGACCTGGGGGTGGAGGGGGAAGGTGGCCCGTGCAGGGAGTTTCTCCCGTCCCACCCTGCTCCGCCCGCTGCCCCTCACCTTTCTGCAGGGCTTGGACGACACCTCAAAGGAGGCCTTGAAGGCTCTCCGCTGCTGCGTGGTGAGGATGGTCCGAGGCCGCTTGGGCCTCCGAGGGTCCTTCCCGTCGTCCCCGCTGCCCTTGCTCTGGCTGCCCTGCCCCTTGGCCGGCTTCATGTCTCCATCCTCATCCTCGCTTTTTACTGTGGGGGATACAACCTAGCTTGTCAAGGGGGTGGGCCAGACACAGTCTGTCTTTCTCCCTGGCTCTCCACCCCGCCTCACTCCCTTTTCCAGGACCCAGGGGAGGCCTGGGCCCCAGCCCCAGCCCTGCTCTGCTGACAGGAACATTCCCAATCTGGGAGCCTGTCTGCTGGGTCTTGGGGTGGTTTAGGGTCCCAAAACCTCAAGAGGCGGCCCATGGCTCCCCCTGAGGTGGGCCTGTGTCACCATCAGGGCCCTTGAAAGCGGTGGTGAGCTCCCCGTCCATCGGTCTCTGAGCAGGGCCCCACTATGCATGGAATTGCACACACATCTGCATATATGCCCGCCGAGGCGCAGGCATGCACAGTATGCTTCCGGTATATGCGCACAGGGACACAGGCTGGTGCTCACTGGAGGGACGCACGGGCAGGCACAGACACATGTGCACATAGAAGCAGCTGCACATGCGCTTCCCCAGACATGTTCCTCCAGCATGTGCACACTGCCCCTTCTGAGGCCAGAGTGCTGGAGATGCAAGTCTCCGGGGCCCCGCAGACCCCGCACCGCGCACAGCTACTGGGCATCTCAACTGGCCCCATTCTCCAGAACTCTCTGGGGTCTCCCTCAGAGCACGATCCCCTATGGAGGGGCAAGCCTCCTCCCTCTAAATTTTCCCCTGGGTCCCCAGGGTAGCCCTGGTGTGAGAAAGCCGTCACACACTCTCTCTGATCCAGCCAGGGGCCTGCTCAGGATGGACAAATGGATGGGGAGCTCACTACCTCTACCAAAGGCCCTGACATGATAAAGCCTTTCCTCGGGCCAACCCACAAGGGGAGCCAGCAGACCAGGACGTCTCCTCTGGACGCTCTGGTCCAAGGCCTTCTCCACTCCTCCCATGATGACAAGGACACCAGCTGCCTCCTTCAGACTCCCCTTCCTGCCCAGGGTCCCAAGTGGGTCCGGTCAGCAGCCAGAGAAGAGTAGAAAAATTCTCCTCCCCCTGGAAAGGGGGGCTTTCCTTCCACTAGAGACCTCCAAGGAGCCCTGGTGGTGCACTGGTTACACATTGGGCTGCTAACCGCGAAGTGAGCAGTTTGAACCCACCAGCTGCTCTGTGGGAGGAAGGGGCTTTCTACTCCTTAAAGGAGTCACAGTCTCAGAAACCCACAGGGACAATTGTACCTTGTCCTAAAGGCTCCCTATGAGTCGGAATCGACTCGATGGTAATGAGTTTGTTTCTGTCTAGTGAGAGGGCTGCAGGCCCGCTACCCAGCCAAGATAGGGAATAGGGCAGGGCACTCTGCTCCCCACTGCTGGAGGCCTTGGGGGCCCAAGATGGGGAGGACATGTCTGCTCCCCGCCCTCAGATATCACCAGCCTGAAGACCTGGTGTTGGCCACCCCTGCGATGCTGTACCATGGCAAGGCCATGCCAAGGAAGAGAAGCTGAGGGGCAATGTGCCAGAGGCCAGGGTGTGTGTGTGTGTGTGTGTGTGTGTGTGTGTGTACGTGTGTGTGTGTGTGTGAGTGTGTGCGTCTACACAAGTGTACCTCCCTGGGTGTGGGCTTTTGTGTGCTTGGATCTTTGAGGACCCGTCTATGCACACATATATGTGGGGCATATGCACTGGTGGCATCGTGGGTTTGCTAACCACTGAGCCAGCAGCCCCAAGCCACCAGCCATTCTGCAGGAGAAAGATGAGGCTTCCTGTTCCCATAAAGGACAGTCTTAGAAGCCTACGGGAGCAGCGCTGCTCTGTCCTACAGAGTCACCCACCCCAAGTCGGAATCCACTCCATACTCGATGGCAGTGAGTATAGGTGACTCTGTTCCTGGGTGTGGGGTTCCCAAAGTACATGTTGTGTGTGGGCGTATTTGTGTCACGTATGGAGGTGCATAAGCACGTGCGCCCCAGGTGGTAGCATCCACAAGTGCATCATGTGTGTGCGTTTGCATATGTGCACACGTGTGCATGTATGTGTGTGTGTGGGTGTCTGTAGGTAGCTCACGACCTGGGGTCAGGAGAAGGCCCTCTCTGGCTGGGACCCCGACCCATAGCAGCACCCTGCCGGGCCTTCCCCCCCAGCGCCAGGCCAGGGCTCACCGGAGTCGGACTCGTCGGGGCTCACGGAGCTGAGCAGGTCCTTCTCCTTCTCGTAGTCGCCCTTGCACAGCAGCTGGCCCTCCTTCAGCACGAACTCGTCGCCCTTGCGTAGCTGCCGCTCACACACGCAGCAGCAGAAGCAGCCCAGGTGGTACACGCACTCCAGCGCGCGCATCACGAACTCCGTGGGTGCAATCTTCTCCATGCAGCCGCTGCACTTGGCTGCGAAGAGCCTGGGTGGGGGGTGGGGTGGAGAAAGAGGGAGACAGGCATGTTGGGCTGCACTCTGGGTTCCCTCTCAGAAGCCACTGCCGGCTAAGAGCCTCTCCTGCTGCCCACCATGCTGACTCTCTGGCACACCTAAGAGAGACCCTCTTAGTACAGGGACAGAGAGAGTGGGAGGGCCCTGCAGCCCCACTCCTCCGGTTCCAAGTCCCTGGACCACCTTAGGGTGCTGCCACTTGGGCCCTTCCCGAGCAGGCACACTGGCCACTAGAGGGCAGCGTGCAGGTCCAGAGGGCAGCCCTGGTCCAATCCACCTTGTCTCTCAGACTTACTCAGCACCCTCCCTGTTCCTCTCCTGCCCTCACCCTGATATCCGAGCAATTCCTAGTCCTGTCCAACCCACCAATCGGTCTGAGCTGCTGCCTCAGTCTGGCTCCCTCCAACCCACTCTCCACCCAGAAGACAGAGGGGTCTTTCGAAAGCCCACACTGATTATGCTGCATCCTTGTTCTGAATTCTTCCACGGCTTCCTAGTCCCTGTAGGAGAACATCCAAGTCCCTGAGCCTGGCAATCAGTACCATCTCTTACAAGTTTGGGCTCCCCACGCCACCTGCGGCCCCTGGGAAGTCTGTATTTTCTCCAACGCACCATCACGGTGGTCCCTTATTAGTTCTTGTTCTGCCCCTGGCCTTGGCCAGGGTCTATTCATCCCTCTCTTTCGGCCCAGGCACGTCTGCCAACAGATCCTCACCACGTGTGTACCGTATGCCAGCCACTCGCCTGAGCATTTTACTTGCAGAAGCGATTTAACCCTGGGGCCGTGACAGGAGACAGGAGTGGTTATTAACCCCATTTTAGAGATGAGGATACCGAGGCACTGCCACTGAGAGATGGGGCTGCTTGCTCGGGGTCATGTGGGAAGAAAATGACCCAGCTGGCTCCCGAGAGTAGGTCTGAACTGGTTCCTCGTGAGCACAGGGTACCATCTCCCCAGACAAAGCTGGGCAGGGTCTGTGCAGGGCCCACACGGGCAGTGCGACTCCCTCCTCTCCCCGGACTGGCTGACCACACCTCCCAGCCTTTCCACCCTTGTCACGTGCCCCACTCTGTGGGAACTCAGCCTCAACCACACTTTGATGGAAAAATTTATGAAGAATCAAATTATTGCTGCTGGGAGGGAATTAAAACCATTTTTCATTCCCTGCGTCCCTGGGCCACGTCTGCGGGCGCCACCTTGGGAGTGCTGCGCGCATCCCATCCCTCTTTATGGCCCGCCATCGCGGGCACAGATTACAGCTGCAATTCTCTGCTAATCGGTTCTGGAACAGAAACGGCCATCAATGCGAGGCACTCGGCCTGCCTGCTTCCCGGGGCTGCCATCAGCGCCGCCTACAGCAAACTGGGGCGGGGGGTGGGGGGGTGGGGGGGTGGGGGCGCCATGGACAGGACCACTCTAGCTCTGCCTGCCACCCCAGCATGGGCAAGAGCAAGAACAAGAGCAGTCCCAGTGACCCCTGCCACCTACCTCTACTCAACCCAGCAGGCTCCTACTCATCCTGCAAGACCCAACTCCAATGCCCACCCCTCTGGGATAGCTCCTCTGGTACCCCAGTCTGGGGAGGCACCTCCTCCTGCTTCCCTGAGCTTCCCCCCAGCCTCAGTTCCCACTGCTCTGAAGTGAGGATGTCACCAGGACCTTCCTCAAAGGGCTGTGCTCAGGAGTCAGTGGTACCAGCGGGTTATAACAGGATGAGTGAGTATCATATCACATTGGCATGACCATGGGAGTCACTGTTAGCCCCCAACTCCACGGGCTTTCACATGATGGGACCTGGCTCTACCAAATCCTCAAGGAGGTCCCAGTCCACTGAGCAGCTCCGTGGAGCCCCCCAGGGGCAGGCTGAGGCATGACCACACCCAGGCTAGGCTCTGGGTTCTAGGCTGGCCAGCCTCTGCTAGCCCCCCACGCTGTGCCTTTCCTCTGACTGCCCCATCCTGCAGCAGGCGTATAGCCCCACCAGCAGAATGGGGGCTGGAGCATAGCTCTGACTTGGCCCTTGGGCTCTGCACCCTCGGGCAGAGACAGTCTGCCCACTAGCAGCCTTGGACAGCAGCCTCTGCTGAGTTTTAGGCTCTAAGGGACGAGGCTGGGGAAGGAACCCAGGGGTGCTCTCTGACAGAGAGGATGGCCCTGCCCTACTCTACCACCACCACCACCACCACCACC